CAAACATACAAAGATTGGGTCTGTACACAGTAGCGAAAGCGACAGCGTCCAGTCGTGACTAGTTTTCAAGGCTACTTTGAGACTCAAGCATGGGGCAACGTGACTTATTACAACCGAACAATTTGTAATTTGAACAGCTACAAAAACCCCGCTTAGATGGGAACGACACTGGGGCTAACTCTTATTTTGTCGTTTAACACACTGTGTGAAAGCAAGCACCCAACAAGCAAAAATTCTAGCTTCACACTTTGCAATCGACCACTCCTGCTTCTCGGAGTATACTCGTACCGGGAGTCTCCTCCCGTCTATTCATCACATATCTTGACTAACTTCTAAAATCGGTGTGGTTTTTGGTACTAATGCTTCGTAGGCAATATTCGTGGGATTGCCTATGCGTTTTTCAAATGCAATCCGATAAAAGCTCTCAGTCCGGACCTAACACTTTCGCTCTCACCTCAAGGCATATGACCAAGCCGTGCATTGAGATGGAGGATCTTACGGCTCTCCATCGCCCTATGCACGATTTACGTGCTCGATTCCTTTTTCCAGTGGCGAGGAGTATTGCAATACCTCGCCGTAGATCTCACGGCGAAGACCAGCTCATTTCGTTTAACACCTTTTCAGGTTGCTAAACTAGCCCATCCAGAAGTGCAAGAATCATGCCAACTCTCACCAAAACCTCACGTCGTGACTTTGATCTAAAATCATCATGAGGTGCTTGCCAAACTTGGACGCCCCGAGGCACCAACGCATGCTGGTTATTCCTGCCCAAATACAGTTCGAGCGCATTTTCCTCCTAAGTGTCATCATTGCTGAAAAAAGCCGCCTGCATTAGAAACAGCAACGACTAGGGAAATACGTACCCTTCGTAAAGGACGGAGCCCCACAATCCAACACTAAGTGATACAAGCTGGCGAGAGTGCCGATGACTTCCATATCCAATGTGCGCAAAGAGGAGTTTTATTCGCCATCTGACGTGTCTCATGGCAATTCTAGCCAGATTTTGTGGAAGAGGATCTTTGACTCGAACATAAATCAAAGCTTGTCAACTCGAAGTACCGACAACGTTTCGCAAAGATTTCATCACCTCTAGTCCCTACTGTTAACAGCTACGATAGTCATCATTAAATAGCTGTAACAGCTACTAATCAGCGATCCTAATTACCGCAAAACTGGCAAGTAGAGTGCGCTGTGGTAGGCAATCTTGCCTCTTCTCCAGAAAAGATCAAGGCATCGATGTTCTAGTTTGTAACAAGCGCTGGTACCTCGGCAATCACGCTAAAGGAGAGCATTAAAATCTCATTATTGATTCCAATGACAGTATCCCTTTCACTTCACCTGAAATTGATAACAATTTTGGTGTATCCGCCGGCTCACTAAATGCCCCCCAAAAAGTGGACTAGCTTTTGCATTTCGAGCAGTGAAGACGGATCGCGATTTACATAAAATTTGTTTGAAACATATTTACCCAAACTTCTTAAACAACCCTGGTATTCCTCCGAGCGTGTTCATTTTAATTTTTTTAAATAATTATCGCGCGACTGGCCTTGCAAGCTTTTTTTATTGCTGCGGTACGTCTGTTCTCTCTGGCGTGCGTCTAAACCAGGATGTGTCAAATCGTGGATAAGCTTTGTTCTATGCAATCGTATTGAGCAACCTCAGCAATTTCATTGGAAGCAACTCCGTTCTCAACATAGCGCTTCACACTAAACTGACTTGTAGAATTTGATATGGCTTCAGTTAAGCCGTATAGAAGTGTGATGAAAGTGGTGGTCCGATATTGCGTTGCCGCATTTCGATATAGTGTTGCCACATTCTTGTCTTCAGACTGGACACACTAATTTACTAGGTAAATATATTGCTAAAAATATCCCAATTCGTATTTTTGAGTATGCTTGCCTTTACATTTCGCGCTCATCATTTGGATATCGTGGTTTCAGTCATCGCGCCGCGAAAAAGGAGCATGACACTTGATCTCATTGATACTACTTTATGGGGTTTTAATTAGTCAATTTAATTAGACAATGTGCCTTCGCCACGACGATCAAATTTACATTGTGGCAGGCTTAATAGAATGCGTCAATTGACCATATCAATTGTGTAAAACAGAAAATAGTATGTACAGGCATAAATGGTAATATTCAGCCCAAACTAGTGAGTTGCCTTAAGTCGATTTGCTTTTGTAGTCTCTCCACGCAGGTGTTCCGGATATTTTGCCCCACACAACAATTTACACATCCCTCCTAGCCATATATTTGCGGTGATGATCGGTTGACATAAACAATCTGATACCAAGCACTCCTGAATTTTTTTTGCCAAACCATTTATTAAAAGTGTGCGTTTTTATCCTTTACATTGGCTCAATGGAAGTCATGATGGCAAAAGCTTTTCAGTAAGCTGCGAGGCTGTATCGAAGTCGGTTGCGATATCTTTAACAGCACTGAGGTGAGCAATTTCACTCAGACGGTCCACAAATCCGGTGATACCGCAACGTTGTTATAATCTAAAATAAAATTTCAAAATAGTGGACTATCAAGAAAACTTCTGCTAGAATTGGCAGGCTGGCCAACGGTGCCGACGCTTGCGACGAGCCTGTAAATACGTTTCGCGAGGGCGCACAAATATGTTTGCTCGATTATTGATATTGTGCGACCAACACCATAATGAAAACATTTTATTGTCCAAGTTATATTGTCTGTTCGACCATTCGCTTCTGGCAATTGTCAATTTTGCCAGTGATTTCCAGCATTCTGTTCTTTAGGTTATCCAAAAAAGTTTCACTACATGCTATTTAGGGATAAACAATCGCGGTGCGGATGCGCATCCGCGCGCTTTGATAAAGCGGCATCTAATCTTCTAAATTTCTTTCTTCTCTAGACTTTCAACAATTCAGCACATGATATAAGGGTAAACTGTACGTATCGCCTCATCAATTGGGGACGTAACCGTTGCTACATGCGTCAATTTATGGTCGGGGCGACGCGAGTTTACATCCGCCATTACATTCAGCCGACCAGCTTTATACCTTATCTTAAACTTGAACTCAACAAAGAAGGACGATTATCTAGCAACTCTCTGTGGGATATGTGGAGACGACATCGCTAAGTCGATTGACTCGGAAACGGAATACATCAGAAGCGGCTATAAGCCAGCAGTTGCTGTAACGGGAATTGCCCTTCCGTATACACGCACTTACTGAGTCGAGATTAAACCGGTTAACACGCTTCTGCACGTGCTACTCACTTCCAGCAAAAAGCTGATTCACGCGAACGAGGAGGAAAAGGTGAAGTGACATTTATTTGGTCATCAGACCTCAAACCATCCTCAAACTGACAAGTGTTTCCAATTCTGATATAGCAAATTTGAGCGATTTACAATTATGCAAGATTTGTAGTTAATGTTGACCAAACAAAGAAATATGTGGCACACAAAAGATGTGTTATGGGACTGACCCCATGACACCAGCTGCCACACAAAAGTGGATTTACCCATATGTTCTTCTAACTTTCTCCGGTTCTGAGATTCGGTCATTCGTAATCCCACACGAAATAAAAATGCATCGAAGACGACTTGCGCCGACAACGAGTGCAGAGCTAAACAGCACCTAATTCGAGGATGCGAAGGCGCCTCCGCCATCATCGAGCTTAGAAAATGCTCCTACTTCACGTCGAAAAGCACTTTCACACGCTGAGCTAAAACCTGAGATCAAATGACCAGCTTGGGCGGGTGACGACTGTTATTAAGAGCCTATCGACGAGTTCAGTCGTCCCGTGTATTTGCGCTACCGCGAAGTTGATCGTCATTACGATTTCATGACCGACGTGATGGTGTCAACTTAAAGTTTGACGAACTCTTTAGTCGAGTGGAAGCCCGATTGGTGCCTCGAACCACGTATTGACCAATTAATCGTGCTGATGGAGTACCATGAAGTCTCATGTACGCACCGTACATCCAGCATTCCCATCTAAATTCCGTACAGACAATCGACACTCGATTCTCGGCATGGATTCGTGCATCCAAAATCGTGTATATCAACCGTTTGCAAAATGCGAATACCGCTGCAGACGTGCTGAAGAAAGTGATATGCGCATTTGGTTTGCCATTTACCAGTGCAGGATCGTATTCACTCCGATATCGAAGATGCTCGCGAAGTCGTGATTAGTCGAATCCACGACGAGAAAGAAGTGGGAAGAGGAAGAGATGGTTTCACCTCAGCTCAGCGGAGTCTGTCTTTGGACCCGCGTCGAACGTGATAACGATATTGGTACAGTCGCGAAGAATACGACTACGAGACTCCTACATATAATCGTTCGCTGGATAATTCATCCGTTTCACTAATAGATCTATTCGACTGCGGACGTTTCTCTCCGCCGCCACATTTATACATGGTAGTATCGATTTTCCTGTCGATCAAGAAAAGGGGAAGGAGCCCGAAAATGGCGCCCCCTCTGCTTCTTCTGTGGCTGCTTCACAGCCTTTGTCTGATTTGGAAGTGCGATTGACGAAGGTGGAGAAGCTCCTTACCGTGGTGAACCGGTTTATGATCGAGATATTTGACTGGGTATCGAGGGCGCGATAACGCGTGAAGGATACTCGCCGGGTCGTCTGTGAAGTCCGCGATCTCGCATGGCATCATAAAATCTCGCCTAAGGATAAATTTAAGCAGCTTCTGCAATTTCTTCCGCCTGCTGGCTACCGCTAATGATGCATGGCCTCCCGCCAAGTAACCTCGCTCTGGTTTGTGTGGATATACTTCCCGTAGTATTTGCTTAAGCGACCAGCAGCCATCTGATTCTCGTCGACGTTCCTACTTTCGCGATCGTTCGTTTGGTCTTACAGTTCACAATGGTTCCTGCTAATCTGAGGATGTTGCTTGGTCGACTACGCCAAGACCTTTGTGCCGAAGCTGTGTCTATGAAAGCATTTGCGTAAAACGCTGCGTTGCATCCAGGTTAAAAATCACGTCGTCGCAATGATAGAGTTTGACGTGCCTAACGAAGAACTCTGAATGTGTTCTCTGCCGTCTTGACGAGTCGATAGCGAGGAAAGCAATTCCATGGCATGACACTACTCGGAATGTAGTAGCTTCGAGCTTCCTAAGCGTGTGGCCGTATTGTCTGTTGGGTTCCAAATACTAAGTAGCAAATGATTTAAAACAGAAAAAAACATTTCGCCTTGATGGCCACGTCTATCTGCGTACTCGTTTTGTAAACTTTGTGCTTTCGTCGTTACATCTTGCAAACGCGTGATCACAGTCACACGTCTCATAATGAATGAGTCCATGGCGTACTTTCACTAGAGCTCCACATTCGCGTGATTGACTGTATCAATTTGGAAGGCAAAAAATTGCCGGGCTCCACCAACGCTTATCCGGGGACAACATATCAGGGACACCACCCATTAAACAAAGCTTTACTTGTAGGTGTTGCAAGCCATTCATGCAAAGTGATGAATGAACTTAATTGTTCCTAGCAAACTCTACCAATGGTAACAACAAATCCCATACTGCAGGATTTTTACAGAAGCCTCTCAACACATCACCGACCACTCGGTTGACAAGTTCTGTTTGTCCATCGGTCTCCGGCTGAACAGTGTGAACATATCCAAGCGAGTGCCATAAATTTGGAACAATTCTTTCCGAACGTCCCTTGTGAATCGTGTATCACGATCAGAGACGATGGCGACTAGCAACCGCGATTGAGAAAACGTGATTAACGAACAGTCTAGCCAGACCTTCGGCATTGGTTGACTAAAACATGAAGCCGTGCGGACCATCTTGCTGAGTCTGTCGACGAAGGCAAACACTCTATTGCGACCAGTATCATTCTCATAGAAGCCAAAAATACGTCAAGTCCGACTGACTGCCAATAGTCAGTAGGAACAGGGAGAATCTGCAGTATCATTTGCGTGTTCCGCGCTGACAGACATCGCATGTCTTCACATCTGTGCCACACACTTCTACATGTGGGGCCACCAAAATTGGGCACTGAGAAATTGGAAGGTCTTCTTACGGTCAAAGTGACCGACCATCGGCGTATAATGCGCCTCGTACATTATCATCCTCTTCAAATCATCGTTGTTGACCCACAATCCGTAGCTTGTCGTCATGTGCAACAATATAGTGTAGAAGGCCATCTTTTATGGATATCGATGCAATCTATATTTTGAGCGACCAAGAAGCTTGTCACGGAATTCCAGATCATACGATAACAGTGCTCTGATGACCAGATCACATTATTCATCCTTAACATACGCTCGATGTATCATATCAAATACATCGTTCGATATCGGTGATATGAGCTTACTCATAATCCGAACGACGTGACAATGCGTCAGCTAGCACGTTTAGATTCCCGGTTTATAAGCAACGGTAAAGTTGTATTTTGCGAGGGACGTGTTGATTCAACCGTGACAGCAAAAGACAGCAGAAACAAACTTCCCTGTCCACGACAAAAAGTTTCATAATGAAATATGTTTTGGTGATGTGTCGTGCTCACCTCTTGTATTCAACTCCGTTTATCGCCTACAAGGATTACGCAAGCTTGCATTATGCAGAGCAGTTTCATCACTTATCACAGCGAATGGTTTGATCATTTCCATTCTTCGCTACTGGCGAGAATCTCGATGGAATTTCGTGCGATGTTAAATCTATAAGTAATCAAAACTCAATTAGAGCAACCAAGCGATATCAATATTCGTTGGGTGTATGCAATGCTTGTAGGGATTGACAAATTTGATCAGGAGAATAGACTAAATTCTGCTGATTTAAGCACGTGTTACGATGCTCAACTTGGCTTGGTCTAGTTCTGGGTCCATAGTAATGTTAAAGTCACTTAAGACCAAGTGATAAGCAGAGTCGTCAAAACCGCGTGGTAAAGCGTTATAGAACTTAGAGCGGTCGTTTGATATAACTGAACCATGTACCACGTGAAAAAAACGTTTATTGCACCAAGTTGTCCTGTCACCACCAAGTATCTGTTCTCGGTTAAAATGCATTGCACAAACTTTGCTCGAACAGTGAGGAAGTGACAGATTTGCCAATTCTACAGAATCAGTGCGAAGAGTCGATGAATTGATTGCGACTACTGAAAACAATTTGCGACAAAGTCGCTTAAGAAACAATCAAAGTTTTGATATTATGAATGTCTAATGAGATATAATATGATTAGGAACGACACCCCGTTTTAGAAGTCGTGTAAGCCATGTCAAGCACGTGCTGTAGTGTTTTATTCATTACACTCTAACCCCTCTCTACCTGGCTCGAGGATTGAACCCTGGACCTCCCGGTTCTGAAGTGAACAGCATATCACTGCGCCACAGGATTGGTTATGAATATCTAATGAGTGAAGCTGCAGGGTTCAATCGGAGAAAACACAGTCTCCGATATGCTCTTTTTGGATCAAGCGGACATAAATTAAAATAAAATTTTCTGCGTATGAGCAGGATTTAGTGTGATTTTTAAAGTGCCCTCGCTGTGGATAATATATAATATTTGCTACAAGGGGAAGATGACGATAGCCCTATTATTAATGCCCTCGCTATGACGACTTTTTGGTATTTAGATGCGTCACATGCGTTTGCTATAGCCACTATCGGGGCTGAGAAACGAACTCAAACCTCAACATTCATTCTCCTTCAAACAAAGCCTCCACAAATGCACTCAACTGAATCGAAAATCTTCGTATTCCATCATACGACCCCTCTGATCTCCAAAGTCATTTGCTTGTTATTCAGTAAAGGTCCAATAATCTGTCCAGACTATTCAAACCTTACAACTGCCGATCTTCATCGACAAGATCGACAAGAGTACCACGATCGCTGGCGCTTGAGTGCTCAGGTTACAGTATCGATTTCATAGTTGAAATCATACCCTTCTCAATCTTCACTTGTGCTAACGAGTACTTAGTAGAACAAATCGACCATAGCTACACTCACATAGGGGTCAACATGCTTAGCAACTCGTAATGTAAAATACAGAGTCATGTTATCGCTTGCCACCCGTAAACTTCGTTCTCGCTCTCGGCATCGATAATTTGACCGTCACGTAAGTGCCTTACATGTAGTGTCTTGTAAAATACGCAGCATGCAGACGCCCCTTACACTTTCGTATATTTGCGCTAAATACAATCGAAAATAGCGAGAATTATCTCATCCTAAGTACCCGGCGATTTAAAATACGTGAGCCAAGGATACACTCGAGTTCGAAAAAAATAGATGTCATGATTCACTTCTGATGTACCTGTAAAAAGTAATGATTCCGTCCCTAACTGAATGCAGAAGCAAACTTGGCTGGGCACGTAGGTACGATAGCTACACGGGATTCCCAAAATTAATAGCAACGATTTTATAAGCGACATGGACATAGCGAAGGCAACTTTCATTTTTAAAAAGTAACTTTTGGAAGGTAAATTCGGTAGTGAGCCACGGGCTTTGAATAGGACCTATTTCCGAGCGTACGTTGCGACCTTTAGAGTGTATTTCCGTTCAGATGGGATCGAATGATTGTGTTTCTAATGAAAACCAAAGCTGATGTCATTTGTGTCTAATCCGATAAAAGTTCGTAGCGACTGGCATTAACATTCGCTTGTATCAAGGTTGGCGAAGTGAGAGGGCGTCTGCATGGCTAGCAAGGTTCCAGGTCTGAGCTTAACTGTTAAATTCTATGCGCTGCATTCGCACCAGCCATGACAAGACCAGGGTGACAAGGGACAAAAGTATCAAAATGAATATCAATAGCAAAGGATAGAGAATCTACATTCCACAAGAAATCGACTTCATCCCAAAAGACGTATTATAAATATCGGAACAATCAGCAACACTCAATATCTAGGGCAAATATTGTGGCCCAGGAGAAGTACTGCCACGATTCAAGTTAAAAGGGAACCACGAATTAGAACATTAGCATTCGAGGTACAACGCAGACTAGAAAAGTACGATGAACGATTGCAAGTTTTGACGTCCCAGACATCTCAAACCAAATTTTAAACAGTGCATACCAAAACGGGATGTATCTTGTTTAGGAATAGGATTTGATGACCCTCTGTCAGGAAACCCGGAGATACAGAAGAATAAGTAGTGTCTGAGGAATTGCGCCGCTGAAAAAAAATAAAAACTGTAAAACTGTCGTGAAGTTTAGTTGTAGCTGGACTTTAAAGTGCGCTCGTGATAATGGGCGCGCCGGTCGACGGTACATGACATAAAATATATCTAAGTGTCATGTTTTACAAGGATGTCAAAATAGTGCGGCTACCTCCTTGGTAGCCATTTCTCGCAGCATACAAACTGACCTTGACGTCCCATCGCAGTACAGAGCACCTGCAAGTATATACAGCACATATGCCGAGTTGGTGGATTACCAAATCTTAAGGCTTCCTCTGTTCTGAAAGCGGCAGAAATCCTACGCCGTTGCTTATATAACTGCATTATCCTATGTACAGCCCTAGAGACCTTGAGCAGTTGATATCGAGAATTTGTAAAATTTCATTATGTATTTTAGCAAGGTGTCGCGTAGCAAGCCACTTAACGTTTTAGCTCTTGCAGTCGCTCACGCGCTAACACGGACAGAGAACTACTTCAATTCTATTGGATCTAAAAGATCGAAACAATCTGTCCTCTTAATAACTTTCGGTACGAGGCTATTCTAAATATGTCAATCACACGGGACTGAGACCCTTGAAAGCTTGGCAATATTGTTGTCGGTCGAGCAGGTTGGATTTGTGTAAGTACTTGATCAGTATGAACGTGAGATGGTTTATCGCGTAAGGAGACCCCTGGGGTCAGTATGCTGAGCCCCGTTACAATATGTTCTTTGAGGCCTTAGGCTCAAAAGGGGGGGGGTGAAGATTCATGAGACGGGGCTAGTCATGGATGCAACTCTGAGTCACCTCAGAGGCGTCTGATCACTTATTCTAGATCTTCTAACAGGCTTTCTGTTTGCAAGCAAAAAGGCTAAGGCTAGAGAGCTAGTAACTGAGCCAAAAGACGGGACTACAACAAAATTGCTACGAAGGGGGTGCAAACTTGCTCGAAGATTAGAAAGAGCCTGATAACCCGTCAAGATCTGCCGACTTTCTCTTATTCTAAAGAGATACGATGCACATCTCGTGGTCATTGAGGCCGTGAAATGACTATAAATTTGTTCTTACAGAAAATTTTGTGGCAGCAAATGTTGAGTCGGCATCCATATATGTGCAAACTTGTGAGCCGTCCAGCAGGTTGAATCGACAGCTCGTGTGCTGGCTTCAGGTCTTGTCTGTTTGTTCCAACGAACTGTAAGAAGTCAGTAAGCCCGAACTTGAAGGAATGCATGGGCTTAAAGTATCTGTATGTCTTCTGACTGTGTGTCCTGCTCCGATTTCTACCGCGGTTCTGACAGACAAAGAGCCGGTTCGTTTTCAGACATCGTGTCCGCCAATATGGTATGACCAATTTTATGTTTCTATATCTAGATCTATACTTCTCTGCTCTGTTTCTTGAAGGCTGTACCTTTTGTCGGAAGCAATTCCAACTGCAGAACAAACCGACGCCAGTCGCGTCACTTCCGCCACATGTGATTAAAACACCGTCAGTACACACGAAACGTCCCGTGGAAATCAAGGTGGAACCTTTCACGAAAACCGAGATGAAAATCTTGTGTTTGGCAGCGAGAATTGGACATCGCTGTATCGCGATGGCCAGATTGCGTAATGAACACAGTTAAGTGGCCTTCGCTATGTCTCATTTGGACGGCCTTGCGCAGGATTGGGCGACGAAATGGAAAGATAACCGGCTCATCTTTTTGCCATATGGCAAGAGTTAAAAAGGGTCATGGAATCGATGTTTCCTTCGCCGAATGTGGCATTCATTTTGACAACGGACGAAGGTTTTGTCATGCCGTCAAGACAACAGTACATTGTACGATTATGTACAGAAGCTCTGTAAACTTCGTTTCGAGATGGCAAGCAAACCACTGCCAGAAGCAGTGATGATCACTGTGCTAATTAAAAGACTCTCTCTTGCCCTCTCAAGACCGAAGTCTAACGCCAGAGCCCGACGATTCTGGTGATGCAATTATTATTGCATTGTGTGAGGGCTACTGTCAACGTCAAGAGTTGCGGTCACTCAGTCAACCCGATGGTGCAGCGGCTGCTGCAACTGAAAATCTGGAAATCCGGAAATCTGGAACCAATGGATCGTAGCACGGTGTCTATTCATAGGCAGAGTGTTTACTGTTAGAGATGTCAAAATTTAGTCAAATCCACCGTGATGCCTAAGAAAGAGACGAATCTTTTAATACAGTTCTCGTCGTTATGGTTCGGAGTCACGTGGTACCAATACTACAAGACGTTCGTGAAAAGCCAGAGCCCAGTAGACGCATTTCGGTCTACTGGGGTTGGTATAATACTTGTGAGTGCGGTGGTTACATCACTCACTAGGGTTAGCTCTGTAAAGATTGTTGTCCTTCATTAACGACGCTAGTCGGAGTGGTCTTCTCGTGGTCAAAACGAGTGTGAAAAGTTACGGTCGTCCATTCAGAGTCTTGAATGCCTCCGGCGCGTCGCGTTAGCACGCGCGGAAGCAAAGTGTTAATGAAAATGAATTAGTGGTTTGGATGCGCTATATAGCAGCATTGGCGCTATCTCAGTGAAGCTGGCCACTGGTGCGGTGGTCATCCTGATGAAGATTATGGTTGATCTTCAACTCGATGATAGTATTCACAGTCCTCGAAATGGACTAACGGTACGACCTGAATTAAGACATACTGTGGTTTAGCCAAGGTTTGATTGGCATTCGAAAACGGCTGTGAGTTGCTTTCCTGGCGTAGGTGAAACCCTTGGGGGTAATCAATTCACATTCACTATGCACCGGAAGAATCGTACAGTTGCTCGGCTGTCGTATGTTGCTAATAATGATCCACACTTCATTTACATATGCTATGCAATTGACATTCCCCAGGTTAGGGAAGACACGAAATCGTATGGAGTGACCACCCGTGATCACTTAGGAAGTATCAACTGGTGTCAGAACTGGCCACTTGGAAACGAATGAATCGTTTGTGGGCATGGCGTTTTGCCCAACGAGAAGAAATTATGAGGGGAGATGCTCCCTCAAGTAAGAAAATTGTTGTTGAGATGTGCGTACTGATAAGTCGAAGGAATCGACTGCGGGTGTATATCCCACATCTCTAATTCAGTGATCTATACGGATTGTGGGTGAGTGGATTCAACTGACCACAATGGTGATGCTCCAACCCGTTATGAGATTGAGCACACATATGAAGGATCAACGGAATTCGCTTATGCGGTATTGACACCCCCGCTTTGAGTCTGTGGGTGAGTTAGTCCAGCTTATACCTCCTATGATTGAAAATTTGAGTATGAATGTAACGACTGGTTGTGAAGCTGCCAGAGCCGATATTCTTTTGGCACCATTGCCGACGATGGAAAAGCTGAAGCAGCTCGAGAAAGTCACTTACGATGCCTTCCTACATGTGATGACATTGCGGAGGTCGTGTTGCTACAGTCGAAGGTTGATTATGTGGAACTGCGCTCATCATCAGTAATGGATGATTTTGTCTGTGAGAAATTCTGAAAGCGTGTGGAGTCACGCAGAGGATTTGCTATACTGAAGGATCCAAGTGTTCCTTATTATCGACGTGTGATGGAATATGAATGTCGTCCATTGCGCAAACCCGTCATTTGGTCTCCCACCCGAACGTTGAATATGAAACGGGAGTGATTGTTAATCTGGTTCAGAACATACAGTGCTTCGACAGAAGCCACTGCCGCGTGAATATAGTGTTCATATCGATGAATATCTGCTCAAAAGCAAGCTGCTGGCTTGGTGAGGGAGAGCAGGTCCCCATATGGCGCACCGTAGCTTTGTGTGCGTAATCCAAATGGTGAATGGCGTATCGTTCACGCCGATAACATGTTGAATATGTCGCTGATTCCCGCGAAAACGCCAATCTCGCGTAAAGTTGTCATCAGCTACCGTATGTACGGCTGTACACAGTTTAGTGTACTTGATTTGGTCGTTATATGTCACCTAATTTGATGAAGGAGAAGAACGTCTCTTTAACAGCTTTGAATATATTTATGGGGGGGTGGCTTGTGATGCCACAGGGTCTATCCAATGTCTTAACAATGTTCAGTCGATTGGCCTCACATCTGTTTCGACCCTCGCAGTACCCTACTTTTACGATATTAATGTTCACTCAAAAGACGAAGAGGATAGATCTGCCGGAGAAATGTATTTGGAGAACCTCCGTGTGGTGCTAGAATATACGCGCTTAAAATTCGTTGCAAGCGAATCTTTCAAAGTGTATTTTCGGTGCTAACAATGTTCCGATCCTCGGTTGTTATGTAGGTGAACACGGTGTTCGAACAGACCCTGAGAAGGTCAAAGTAATCCTTTAGTAGACAATGCCAGGAAATCTAAGAATTTGGGGAGATGGATTGGTCTGTATAATTGCCTGTATCGCTTCTCGCGTAGGTACGCAGAACTGATAAGTCACTACCAAATTGCTGAAGAAGGACGTCCCATAGGAGTGGTCATTCACTTGTGAAGAAGAATTCACTCACACAAAAACAGCTTGATGGACCCTCAATTACTTGCTGTACTAGATGATACGAAATTGTATAGCTTGGTTCGTGACGCTTCTGAGTTTTCAATCAGGCTGAGAGTGTGCTCATTGAAAATCGTTCGCAAATGTTGACTGGTCTTCTTTTGTCGCTGACATTGTTCTTTCTTAAAATACATCTAATGGGAAGCATGGTGTGAGGGTGGATCCAGCAAAAATTGAGGCCTTTGTGGATTAGAATTGGAAAGGGGCGTGTGTACCAAAAAGGGTCAGCTTAAAGACTCGTTTTTATCATTTAGTCCTCACAATTAATACGATAATTTATTGGCACAATCGTCAGCGTTCAGTACTCAAGGTGCGTCCCTTATTCATAATACAAGTTTTGCATCAAGCACTGCTCAAAACGCGGGCGATACCCTACGAAGGTATGATCGGTGGGTCAGAAAGCACTCGCGAAATTTCTGTCTGGCATTCTTTCAGTATCAGCGTGAGCAGAAGTCCCGCAAATACAGGTGTAATAAAAATCCCTAATGTTTCAAAATCGTACTTAAGACATGATCAATTCAGCAAGAGCTGGTGTGACTCTTTGCGCTTTCAGAAAAATGTCTTTATGAACCAGATTCACTTTGTTGGTGACACGCTAAACATCGTAATTAGTTATTTATCACAGATTGATCTGCCGTAGGGATAGAGCACGAGGTATTTAACTCGTGGGTGCGAGGCTCAGGGAGCGCCCATCTTCTTTAGAGGGATCGGGTGTATGTCTCCAGATTAGTGCGGAGGCGTCGGTTTAGGACTCGTAGTGATACCGCGGTCTTTCTCGTTGAAGAACACTTCGGCATCCTATATAGTAAAAGTGTTTAGGGCTTTAGTACTGAGAATCGTTTTTTTGGCTCCCTAGATCATGTTATGGTGCACGGAGGAGAGCTGCCAACGCGAAGAATCTCTAGAAAGAAGGCTCTATATGTAACGGGGTGATACGTACCCTTGAAAATAATTGCAGGTCACAAAAGATGGCGTGACCGTACATAGGTGTGGATTACACAAGTTGATGTTATCCTGTGGCTACACCGTGACAAGAAGCCACGACGCGGCAAAACTGCCAGTGGTAATGCATATTTATTAGGTTTTACTATTTAATTAGGAATCCCCAAGGTTTTGGACATTGGCGACCCTGCCGCAACTAAAACAATTGTATACACTTTCGATTTTGATCAGAAGAGCGTCTTTACCTTGGTTAAGGTTTTAGTTCTTGGAGGTAGCGGATTGCGATCCGCTACACACGTACTGGTTCTTGTAAAGAGCGAAAGATCCGTGACCTTAGCTTAGCCTCCTGCTACGGCAGCCCCTCTGCAGTTAATAGCACTTGTAGTCAATCTGTGCCTGAGTCGTTACGACTAAATTTTTGTGAGGATGGAGCCACACTCCTTTTTTTCCGAGGGCATGCAGGACGGGCTTTAAAAGCTAATGTCCCTGCTTGGCCCTGAGGGTTTAGAGAACCTCGTAGATCAAGGACCCGAGGTCATAAGCGCGTGCCTAGAGAAGATTTTAGGCTATGAAAATGCTATGTTGGAGCACCTGCAGCAGAAGCTGGCGGCATGGACTGCGTCCATGTCGCCACCGTCGACGACAAATGGCTCTTCCTGACCCAGGCCGCTCATGATGAGCGTTTAGACCTTCGAGGGTGAGGATGGGGATGATCGCATGCTTTGAAAAAGAGAGGCCGAAAGGATCTGCTTTGCTCTAGAGCGAGCAACAGCGCGTGGCGCTAGCTATATCCAATCTCAGGGGCTTAGTGCAAGATGGGCACTAACGTGCGGTGCTTCGTTTGAAGCAGTCTACCCCGCCTGGAAGGAGCCAAAGCGTTAGTATTTGCGAGTGTTCTCGCCGCCTAAACCAATATATCGCGTTTCCTTGCAGCCCGACAAGGCAAGAAGAAGTTTGTGGACTTTATCCAAGAGTTAAGAATTCTCATTGCCAGGATGTCAGCCGATCCTCTCCCCGAGGCGGCCGCAGTGACCGTTTTTATGGAGGGCCACCGCACTGGTCTGGCCAGAATGGAAGTCTTCCGGGTGCAATCGTCATTTTTTGAAGAAGCAGTGAATGTGGCATTAAATACCGAGTTCAAGTTTAATTCGGCACGACTTGGTTGGAATGCACACCCTCAAAGCTCGTCGATCGGGCCTGAGCCAATGGATCTCAGCTATGCTGAGAAGAGGAGGGAGATCTCTAAGCTGCCGTGCAGCGTTTACACACCAAACGATTTTTTTATTTCGGAAACCCGTAACCTTTGGGCTGGTTGTCCCCTACGCAAGGCGCGTAAAGGTTCATCGAGCCGACGTCCCACTACTAAATAGTCTGGTTTGTCACGGGGAAACAAGAGGGCCCAGTAGACGCGGGGCGTCCTACTGGGGACGAAATGAGTTCTGCTGTGCCTCAGGAAGAGGGCAGCAGGGTCCAGCCCCGAAGAGCTCCGTGCTTTCAACACGAAACTCGGGCTTGCTGTCAAAAAATGCGACCGTGTAGGGCTTTGACAAGCCATGGTAGATGATTAGCGATTCTGGAGCGCCGGACGCCACCGTTCTCATCGAGAAGAGACGGTGGCGGGCGGTAACGACCGAGACGACCGCCGTTCGGTGACTCGTGATGCTCTTAGAGCTCTTGTGAACGAGGTCCTTCGTGATCGCTGAGCGTCATGCTGAAGTAGTATATCGCTGTGCGGACACTCTTGACGATTAGAAGCACGTCGTGCGCCGGCGGCCTCACCTTGAGGACTACCGCGCTCTGTCGGAACGACTCCAAGCCGTGGATCAGGCGAATGCGGCGCTGCATGCGACGGTGGGGCGCTTGGCGCCATTATAAATGGAGGTTGTTGCACTTCGAGCTCAGAACCAGTTGCTGATTCAGCTTCTGGGTGACCGAGGGCCCGTGGGATCCGCTCCGGCGCCAACGCTCCGCGTTCACTTGCGCCGGATCCCGGTACGGCTTGAGCAAGCCCACGTAAACACCGGGTGGGTGCGCATCAGTTTTGGGAGGTTCAGCGTATTCGCTAGGCCCCGCTTGGCCACAACCTTAAACGGTCCGATGAATCGTGGACGAAGCTTCGTCCTAAAGATAGCAGAGGCTGCATGTGTAGGCAGGCTCTCAGAATATAATTAATTCAACCAGGACCCCGACCTTAGACTTTCCACTTTGCCTCTTCCTTTTACATCTGCATATTGTTTTTGCAAGTCTTGCTTTCAGCCATCGCATCGCGAACGTGTCGTAGGACACTCAGTCTGTTAGACAAGAAGTCATCGACTTCTTTGCGGATGGTGAGGGGGCTGACATCAGCTAGCCGTCGGCTATTCCCCCCCCCACCAAGCCCTGAGCCATGGGATGGCGGCGGCATCGGGACGCGAGGGTGAAACAGCCCGTTCAAGTAGAACGGCGTGTAGCCGGTAGACAAATGCACTGCGTTGTTCTGTGCAAACTCTACGAGTGGCAACATGGCGCTCCAGCGCCTCGGCGTCTCAGCGCAGACGCTGCGAAGAACGTCTTCGATGACGCGATTCACCCTTCCGGGCTGGCCATCGGTCTGCGGATGGTCCGCTGTCGACATATCCAACTTGGTGCCGAGCACTTTGAAGATAGTCGACTAAAATTTTCCCGTGAAACGGGGGTCTCTATCAGGGACAATCGACTCTGGAGTCCGTATTGTCGGAAACCACGTTTCACGAACAATATTACTGTACTGATTCCGTCGATGGTGTCTGGCACCGCCGCCAAATGAGCTATCTTGCTCAACCGGTCGACAAATACCACGACACCCGTGTTGCCCGCCGAATCTTTCGGCAGGCCAAACATAAAGTCCAAACTCATGGACTGCCAGCTTCCAGTTGGTACTAGTGAGCTGGCCAATGGTGTAGCCGCATTTGGAGCGGGTTTTACCCGTTGACACGTCTCACACGTGCGCACATAGGTGCTCGTTCAGTTGTACAGCTTGGGCCACCAATAGTGGTGACTCATGATGTTGTACGTTTTCTCGCGACCGAGATGACCACTGAGTGGCGTGCCGTGAGCCTCACAGAGGATGCGATCTTTCACAATTCGTGGTGTATCCGTTGAATCGGTGCTATGATATAGCAAACCGTTATTTAACAAATATCGGTGCAATCGTGCACGCAATCTTGGTGACACCTTCTTGTCCGAGTTTTTAAACCCCTTGCTCCCTAGAGCCCGTAGCAACGCTACACACATCCCATCACCCGCATAC